TTGTTCTCTCCGTATCTTCTCCCATGAGAGCCGCACTCCGTTTCCCCACGATAACGGTGTAACAGTTACTTCAATTTCGATTGATATAATTATACAGCACATTCCTCCACACCACCGTTTGTGACCTCGTCCGCTTTGTGTCCCGTTTACACAGCGTTTTCTTTCTGCTCCTCTACCATCTCCAGTATGTACGCCTTCCAAGTATTTTCTCTATCTACCTGTACTGACGATGTACATATGATTATTTTGAACACATGATCATGCCTTGTGCATGCCTCACGGGTTTCGTGAAATATACATTATTATTATTATAAGTGAGACAGGAATGGCACCCCATAGCTTTTTTCTCCAAGAAGCTCCAACCTTTAATCTTAAGTCTAAGTTCAGTAGTCGCTGTCCATAGGTTTCGATAGGAGTACCGTTAGCTGCCTGCAAAGTCAGTGCGCTGGGTCAGCAGCACACTCTTTAGTGAACGGGATTATACTGACTTTCGCTCCGGTATCTACCACAAACCTAAGCTTGGACGAGTTATCGTAAATAAAAAGGAGGTAACGGGGTGGGAGAGCCGGTTAAGGTAGTCGCCGTGACCTACCGGCCTGCTATTTTCCCTGTTTTTTGAACTAACACGGCAGTTTGCACTTCCTAGCTTAATTTCCGAAGCGTCTGTGATAATAAAACAGACCGCTTCTAGATGGCATATGTTGATGACCGCTAGTTGACGGGAATCGGTTACGGGTCGTGCGGGTAGTCTGCAGATTGTTGCTTGTGGTCTGCAAAGTAGCCATAGCTAAACGAAGGTCGTCAAACTGCTTAGGCCAAAGCTGTACTTCTGTCATGGGCTGCCTGGAGACCTTAACGGGAGCTGAATTCAGAAGCGTATGGCGAACCATGTTTGGTTCAGTGCTCCCGACGTTCACCATTGTGAGCTGACAAAGTTGAGCTTGCTCTATGGCTCCGTCTTGTGTCTTAAAGTCTTGAATTAGTACTCGGGTTCTAGGATTGCACCCAGTAGTCCCTGTTCTGTATTTGTTTTCTTTTCTACAGCTTCGGTTAGTTGGTCCAAACTGTGTGCATGGGCGAAGACGTTAAGTATACTCTGCAGGTAATTCATGAGCCGCTGGAGTCATATCTGACTTATTATAGAGTCGTCTGACGTTAGGCTGCCTCCTAATCACGCATTAGTCGCAACAACTGGAATGGCTTGAGATTTCCCAATTGTATCCCGGACAGGAGAAGCTGGATGCGCTTCTCTTCCAAAATGGCCATACGACGGAGGAGTGTTTCTTCGAGCGCGTCGTATGGGTTGTGTGCGGGATATATAAGTATATATCCCTGAAGTTGCTCACCATGTCTCGCGGTATCGCGTACAAGCTTTTGTGGTAACGTGATAGTTGCTCGATGATGCGGGCTCCGTGGAATCGCGATGAACGCTTCCAGGTCCCCCGGCATGAACTTTGGTGCCCTGATGTGTGTCCAGAGTGATTCGCTGTCTGTGGTATGCTTCTGATCGGGGCTAGTCATACTTAAACACATACATATGATATGCGGTTGCGGAACCGATTATAAAAATACGACCGAATAGCGGCTGAGAGAGAAGATACGTTGGAAAACCGAGCATGCCAAAATCTAATAGCAGATGGCCATTAAACCCAGATATTCCAATAATTTTATCGAAGTCATTTAATCTATCAATGAGGTTCGGTATGTACCCCAAACAATGGAATACATCCACAATTATCCCTTTGCGCAAGAAAGGATCCATTCATGAAGTGGAAAACTACCATGCGGTCACCCTCACTCCAGGTGTTTCTAGAATTATGGAAAAGATAATGAAAATAAGATCATGGACCACCTTTCAATAAATAGCCTACTTAATACAGGACAACATAGATTTCTTAAAAGCAGTTCCTGTGCAACATGTAAGGTTGACTTTTTGAACACTTTCACTGCAGCAGCCGAGGTCTGGAAGTCTGGAAGTGATTCACGGGTTTGAGGCTGTTGCGCAAATGTCCCGGGTTCTTGAGAGGTATCTGTGTTCTCTATTCGTTCATTTTTTTTCTAGAAAAGAGAGTACTGAAACGGCATTAGTACGGTTCTCTGCTCGAGGCGAGAAGTAAAATGAAGAATTGAGAACTCTGTGACGGTTTTCAACAGCTTTTGTACACACCACTTTTGTAATTCCATTATCTTCCTTTTCTTATCTCTTCTTTCTCTTTTATGAACTCAACGTTTAACAGTTGTTTTAACCGGCCTCCTCATTACCCGCTCGGTATCTTTGTGGTCTCACTCCGTGATTTACCCTATTGTTTGTCATTCTGTAATTGGAACCTACGACGTTTTCGTAAGTCACAAATATGTATTGCTGTTTGAGGAAAAGTTAGTTTGTCTTAGCCACGACGAGTGAAAACCAAAACACAAGGCGTTGGTGACAACGTTTCGACCCTCTTGAAAGGCCTTTTTCAAGTCGTTTAATCGGTTAATCTCACGTTACAAGCAATTATAATCATCAGCACGACGCCCAAATGTTTCAATGAGATCCGTTCCATCCATGGATCTCGTGTGATTTATTGATGTTTGCCTGTAATAGAAACGAAATTTCAACTGTCGTTCAACTGTTTTCCTACGTGCTGGACATTTGGTCAGTCGAAGTCGAGACATTGCGATTCGTATTAAACGTTATTCAGATTGCCGTTACAGTTTGAAACTTTGGTCAAATTACGTTCGATGAGCTCTTCTACATTCTTCTTCTTTGTCTTCGATATTTTGTCCTTAAATTGAACTTAATGTCCATCCAACCTGGTCAATCAAACTCAGTCAGACTACCCCCCTCCAGAGAGAAAGAAGGTGAAGAAACCACCATCGTTAAAGGCTTGAGTACTGCGCCAACCTTGGGGGGATCAAAACGCAGCACGAGGTCTGCAATGAAAAAGGCAGAAGTGGAACTACGGTTATTGAGGGATAGATACAGATTAGAATGTGAGGTAAAGGAAGCCGTCTTTCGCCAACAACTGTGCAAGGCCGAGGCTAAGCTGGCTCTTGCAGATATTGTATGCAACAGCGATGCAGAAGACGCAGAATCCAGGTGCTCCAAATCAAGCCACAAGGAAAGAGTAGGAACCTATCTACGAGGGGATGTGCCCGAAGTCAAATTTTGTAGAGATGTAAGAGAACTACCCACACATAGGCATTACAGCCTTCATGGCTTAGAACTCCCGCGGTCGTAACTCGTTTCTTTCGATGGAAACGCTACAGAATATTGGAGATTCAAACGGCAGTTCGACAGCTTCTTTGCTAGACTCCTTGTGGAGAAAGAAGAAAACTGGCTTATCTGTTACACTTCTGTAAGGGAGTGGCTGGGGAGNGAGACAACAGAACCGTGCATGCTAATGTCAGAGGAAGATGGGTATCATACGGCCATAAAGGTACTCGATAAATTATTCTATCAACCGCACAAAACAATCAGGGGTGTAGTAAAAGACATTCCGGCTAAGACAGCGGAATTGAGTGGCACAAGCGAGGACCTGAGCAAGCTTAGCATTAAATTGCGAAGCTGCTACACGGTTTCAACGGAAATGGAATGCGAATCCGAAATGGATTCCATACGCACGCTGGAGTCATTAGTTACGCGATTGCCTAGACGTTTACAACGTATGTGGGCCGAAGTGGCGGATGGGATCGTATCCAGTGCAGGACGGTACCAGTTTATCGACTTTATCGAAATGATAGAAGAGTCGAGGATATAGAACAGACCTTTTGGAAGAATATTGGACACAAGGCGTTCACCAGAGGCTAATTGCCCCTGGGATCCTCGACATAATACGCATATGAACGTCACTACGACTTGACAAACATTAGAATCATTACAGAACTTTCAGTGCCCTTTGTGTCTAAAACCACACTCATTTACTAAACGTGAGGGTTTCCCCAAGTCGGTAATGGTGGAGAGACGAAACACTGTGGAAAAATTAAAGCCTTGTTATAAGTGCATTAAATATGGACACCTGGCGCGGGCACGTGAAGAAAATGGTAAACGCTCGGTTGATAGCTACACCGGCAAGCACCATAGCCTGCTTTACTTGTCGCCTAGGGATCAAGTGTCCGCGACTGTGCAAGCAATTGTGGGGGATTCCTGCGCCAAATGATAATAATAATAATAATAATAATAATAGGTGTATTTCACGGAGCCCGTGAGACATGCACAAGGCATGATCAAATGATCAGAGCGAGCATATGTACAATAACAGTGTAAGTACATAGGTAGACAATAAAAACGGTGGGGATTAGAACGAAAACACAGTGTGGAAGGAACACAAACCGGACAAGGTCACCGACGAATTTATGGAAGATGGAGGATGCATTGAAAATGCATGTCACTAGAACTGGAAGTAATGGTAAAACTGGTCTCGGAAGGATTTGACGTACGATAACAGTGCGGGGAAATACGGAGAGGCGGTCTGTGGAACGAATGCTGCTTGATGATGGAGGCACGAGGACAGGAATAGAAGGGAAGGAATATAGACAGGATAATACGTCGGTAAAAAAAGTTTCACTCTATGCTGCGATACAACTCGCTTCTGGAGACAAGTGATATTACTTACCTCGGAATAGTCTCGGTAAAAATAATGCACGGCGACAAATCTTTGAAAGCATAGGCCTTGTTAGAGAGCGATTCTGATACTATAATAGTTAATAAAGAAGTTTCTGAACTGTTAGGGCTAAGTGGCATGGGCGTACGAATTAACGTTTACTCTGTGACTGGAGAGCGACATATAGTTAGTCATAGGGTATCATTCGAAGTTAGTCCCAATAGGGATCATCAATGCATTAAGGTAAGCACTGTATACACCATGAACGATCTATTAACAATAACAATGGTATATTTCACAACGAAACTCGTGAGTCATGCTGGGATGCACAATCATTTTGTACAATAAAGGGCAGAATAGTTGGGTCGACAGTTAAAGGGGTTAAAAACAAAACGGAAAGCGATTTGTTTGCGCGCGAGAAACAAAGATAAACACAAAACGGTCAGTGGACAATTTTTTCAATTCGGGAAATCTATAAAAAGGAAGGTGAGCAATGTAGCACATTTCTGACAGGTTATAGTTCTGTGGATAAGGAGTTATGAAGACGAAAAGTCACAGAGGCAGAAATGTAAGAAATGAAAACGTGTACACATGTCACTGGGTTTGTGTTAGATAGAAATGAGTTCAAGCACGGCAGAGAAATGAAAACTGCGCATACTGGACGAGGTAGAGGTGTCGAACGTTGATCTTGTGGAGGTGAAAAGACACAAAAACTAAATGGGTGGAGTTGTTTTGAAGGTATTTTGTGTATGTGCTGGAAGATTTGTGATTGAAAAAATGGTTATATAAAGTCCTGTCGGTACAACTAGCTTCTGAGTGAAATCACTGTTTTGGCGAGGGTGATCGGGTCAAGACGAGGAGGAGAGGTTTCAGGCCTCGCCAGGTCTTCTATCATCGATAAAAAGCACGAGGCGTTTGGGTCGCTGCGTGTGGGTCAGCAACTCAATATTGAGTTTCTTTAGTAAAAAGGTCCAATCGATGGACGATTTCATAGAGTTCAGCTTTTGGTTTTTTGGTTTACTTCAGTTTTCCTCAACGGTGAGCATCGTACCGATCCGACAGGAGTCGCCGTTAGTCTTACAGCAGAAGATCTCTGGAATAGAAGCCGGAAATGCGGAACAGTCTAGGTTTGGTTCCTAGCTGGTGAGTGGGGGAGGGAAGGAGAGAAAGCATGCATGTTATCGCGCAATCTACTGCTAGAACTTCAGAACCGTGGCGAAAATGGACTAACAGATTGTTTCAATAGAACAGTTTCGACTAATGACCAGTGGATAGACCTAGCAATGAAAACACAAACGGGAATGCTGATTTCCGTTTGGCTCAAAAGCGTACAATACAGATATCTCGAGGAGAAAAGGTAAAAATAGAAGAGCAAGAGGGAACATGACTGGAGTTTAGAGACGCTCAGAAGGAAAGATACCCGAAAGAGGATGATCAAGTGGTTAAGAGAGGTTGGTTCAGGAAAATAAACGAGGTTTTACGAAGGACATTTTAGTTTAAGTAGCACTGATACCATTTGAGCTGAAATGCTCAAATGGGGTTTCTAAACCTTAACTGAAATAAAATTATTGATTCTGATTTGGCTGTGAAGCGTCAAAACAGATTCGTCGAGGAAAAGATGCATAGGAAACAAAGTTGAAAATGGAAAAGCAAGAGTTCAGGTACCGGCTAAGAAACAAACGGCTCCATTAACCCACCTAAAAGGGTATAGAAATGGGGCATCTGACTAACGTTAGGGTTCAGTTGATCATTGGTTGTGATGTCCCCCAAGCTCATTGGGTGATTGATGGTCTATATAGTGGGCCAAATGAACTCTTCGCGATCGAAACTGTGTTGGCATGGTTGATTATGGGACCGTCCTTGAGCGCAACAGCTTGCCAACAAATGTTTACCGTTACCCAGGAGAGTAAAACTAGCATCATGTTGGAAGATTTATATAACAAGGAGTTTCAGTTTCTGCATACGATGGTCGCAAATTAATCCGAAAAGGATCTTCGAGCGTTGCAAACAGCGGAGGAATCGATAAACCATGACGAAAAACAATTTAGCATCGGATTAACGTGAAAAACCAAACCAGAAACCCTGCCGAACAACCACGAACTAGTGATTTGGGGGTTAGAATGCCTGAAACTTAGGTTTATGCGAGATCCAAGTTTATTTAACAGGTACAATAGTATACTGAACGATCAATTTCGAAAGGGCTATTTCGACCGCTCAATCGACTATCAACTTGGAAGTCGCGTACAGACCCAGGCGGTACCTACCACATCATCCGGTGGTAAATCAGAAGAAACCTGAAAAGGTAAGGATAGTCTTTGATTGTGCAGCCACCTATCAAGGAATTTATCTTAACCAACGTGTATTGCCAGGACCAACTACCGTAGCTAACTTAGTTGGAGTACTGCTGCGCTTCCACTTAGTCAAAGTAGCTGTAGCAGCAGACGTACAAGTGATGCTTTTGCACGTTAGGGTGCCTGAACGTGACTCAGGAACGTCTATTGCTTCAACACCATCCATGGACTTTACCCTAAAGGTTAAATTGGAACACCATTTGCGCGTATCTCCTAGAACCGTTTTCAGGGAAATGTCCTCTAGTTTACCCTTTAGACCCAATTGATCTGCTAGGTCTGCCCGTACCAGGGAAGTATCGGCTCCTGTGTCGAAAAGAGCATTAGTTATCGAAGACCCAGAAGGACCCTCAACAATTACTGGGATGATTCCCAAACTCACTCCATAGACATTTTAGAACAGCTAACACGAAGCACTATGAACTCTTGACACCTCCTTCTTTTGGTGCAGGAACTGGTGATGCACACGGAGACAGCCCTTTCTCTCGCATCTGGTTTTTGATAAACACTTCTCAGCCCAATGCCATGGTCGGAGACACCTAAAACACAACCTGTGTTTAGAAACCACCAACCAACGATCTTGTGCAGACAACTTTCAACTCTTGACAATCGTCTGCAAAGTGGTTTATTCCACAAATGACATATGCATTATTGTTGGAGACAAATGCAAATACCTTCTTTTGCGTCACAACTCTGCTGTTAGTGTCAGTCAGAGATCTAAGATCTTGCAATAAAGAACTTCAGCGATTCCGCTGCAGTCGGGCTTTGGCAGAAAATAAATCAAACAGGTCACGGAACGGTGGTTCACGATTAGCTTGATACAGTTCTTCAGCTCGCTTAACCCATTTGATCGTCATGAAGCGAGGCAGTTTATCTAAAACCTGCTTAGTCGTAGTAACAGAATTAAGATCGGCGATATAACCCAGTTATTCCAACGCATCCAAATTAATAACAAGTCTGTCGGAATACGCGGACAGCTTATCGGCAATGGGTTGCACCAATCCATGTCTGGTGACACCATCTAATAAGGCTCTCACTAACACGTGTCTCTGGCCAAACGGTTCTTCTAATACCTTTCTAGCTCGTTTATAATCCTCCATAGCAGGATTTAGTAAACATCCTTGAATAGCCTCTCTGGCCTTCCCTTAACAATAATGATACAGGTACGTGAGCCTCTGGCCTTCATTAGATACCAGGCTTGCAATACGGTCGTCAAACTGCCTGAAGAATGGAATGTACTGTATGGATGATCCATCAAAATAAAGGATCTTACACCTAGGAAGCTCGAGTTGCTTGAGTAAGAAATCAATCCTGTCAAAGTCATTGTCTGAGACATCAGTGAGTCGGGGTTTAACCCCCAATTCTACTGTTGTATTGCGAACATTCTATATATAAAGCTATCTGCATAAGTTCCGCGACATCTTGGATCAACAGTCTATATTATAAGATAACCGAACAGTTTCAATATCGTCTGTCCTATCTTTATGGCGTAACGTCTTCGCAGCTCTGCGCTTGGCTGCTGTCGCTACACGCATCGACTCTGTTGTCTCTAACTCGAGTTGGGCACTTTTCAGCTCTAACGAGATTTCACTAGGAATATTACCATTGCCGTGGTCTCGGCAACAATAGTCAGACATACCAGGCGAGGTACACCGGCAACATCAACCTGAAACTCGTATTCTGAAGAAATGTAACTAGATAAATCCATAGCACAAATAGATAAAATAATAATAGAGAAATAAAGTAAAACGGTGGATCGCTCAATGGGATAAAATTTACCTAAATCAAAAAATGTCACAGTTTGATCAA